CGGCCTTGTGCAGGGGCATTTATAGAGGAAGGTGGCTGGTGATTGGAGCAAATTATTTTGATCTCTCTGGCGTCTGTGACCTGGGGGTCACGTGATATCCCACTAGCGAAGTCCTAAGGGACTACGCACCTATTCGTAGAACTTAAGTTACATTAGGTAACTATTAATTTTCTTCACTTTAGATTCTAATCCACTATTTAGTGTCACAATCGAGCTTTTGCACTGCTAAACAAATGAAGGTTTGGAAAAAAATGGATGCTGCAACTTTCCCGTCTGTCTGTGGGTTTAAGAACTCAGAGTTAAGGTCCTGAAGGACCTGCATCGTACAGAGCTGTGTAAGTAACGATTGGTATGAACTTGTCATTCTCAACAAAACAATGCGTCTGTGGCTGTGTTCTTTTCAGGTCAAACATTCAGTGTTTATTTAAAACGCCAACTCATACCTGACAATTCATTAAATAAAGATGGGGATGTAATAACTGAGCATTGTGAAAGCATGGCTGGGTAAATAAATAATCCTTTAAGGTATAAGTGTTTGCTAGTGAAATGTTAGCGAGCCACTTTTCCTGCGTCTTTTCGTAAAGTCCTTAGTGCGAGGCTCTTTATTAATCTCTTCACAAGGAATCCTAAAGTATCCATTAAAGGTTTCACGATTCGATCGGTAAGAAAACTTAAAACAACACAAGCAAAAGGCATATTCAGACACGCTGCTCTGAACAACTAGCTCGGCTGACCACCAGTCCGTGATACGCATAAGTAATGAGGCGGACGTGACGTCAATTGCAAGCAAGCTATAACAAGATAAAACTAATTTTGAAATCCAAATTTCTTGGCTGAACTTCTGTTATCAGTTAAAGAACTATTCGAACAGAGCATGGTTTATTAATGCCTTTTGACAGATTAGGGCCATTTAATGATGAATTGACATGAAAATCTACATATTGCTACTTTAAAGTAGATAGAGTAATCAAAATCTGAGCTGCCAAAGTGATTAAGGAAACCATCAAAGGGTTAAAGTCAACTAGAGAGGACCACTCCTGCTTTCACACAATAATTTTTCATACAAAGTTTGCAAAAAACAGCACGATGTCCCAAAATCTCGTTGGGGCAGAAAAAATGTAGCATAAATGAAATACTAAGTTAGGTTTTCTATGCAGCAGCTAGCGAGATAATTTGCTGCATTGATTACAACAGGCGCACATCGGTGGCCTGAGAGCGGTCATTGTGCCGCTGCTGTGTGGACAGATTAGGCCTCAGATTAAAGATATCTCCTTTATACACAGTGTCATTGTGAGGAGCGGGACTCAAGCTGTTCTGTCCAGAGCTGAGAGCAAACAAGCTTAATCCTGCTCAATACAACGGCCTGACAGCAATTTGTCCCTGTAGGGGAGGAGCCCGCCGCCAAATCCCACACAAGTTCACTCCTTTTCCGACAGGGCTTCCTCCTCTTTGATCCTATTTGTAATGTACACTAATAATCTGGGCTAATATGGAAATGCATGCAAAGTGGATTACTACGACGTGCGGGGAGTGGAAGTCAAAACAAAGCTTAACATTATGTAATTAGAATGGATTAGGAGTGACCTCAACGATAAATGATTACAGTTATGAAGGCTTTTGTTTATGATAGAGAAATGTACTTACAAACTGCAAAGAGAGAAACATATTTCAAAGGAGCAGCTGTGTCATGTGATACGGAGATAATAAGAAGCCAGTTGTGACAAACAAGTTACACCCACACGGCATTATTTGTGTCCCACGGAGTTAGATTTAGTCGGGGACGATGAGAAATGGTCCTGGTCTCACCGAGGCTGTTGTGATCTGTTGTCTGTTATGACAACTCGAATGGGTCTTGTAAAAGGATGCATAACTTCCTGTTTACTCCCATAAAAAGACTTAGTGGTTTGAGGCACATGAGTCGCTCAGCTGACTAGACTCAACCAGCAATAAATAATACATGCAACCTTGTCTTTGAGCCGGACCAATGTGGGTAAAAAAAGTAGAATAATCATTGAATGAATGTTGAGAAATAATTGCAATTGTTGGACTTTTTACTTTATTATTTATTATTAACACACATAGCTCTCTGGCTTCTCAGCATAAGATCCTGGGTTCGTATCCCGGTCGGAACAGGGTCTTTTCTGAGTGGAGTTTGTATGTTCTCCCCGGTTTCCTCCGGGTGCTCCGCTTTCCGCTACCACTAAAATCACATCCAATAGTACTGGCCTGGCCGCTCCCATCTCTGTGTGGAGTGAGAGACAAACGCCCACGACGATTGTAAAGCTCTTTGTGACTTTGGTTTGTGAAAGGCGCTATATTGATAAAGATTATACTTACAAGAAAGAAGTCACCATCCAGTCATTCATAAAAAACTAAATGATTACCAAATTGGATACAAGTGAAATCAATACAATATAGGCTCATTAAAAAAGTGATTTGTCAAGCCGTTGTTATACTTTTGCTGATTATAGCCTACAGGCGTTTTTCTTTATCGACATTAAAACAAAAACAGGCTTGATATTTCTCACTTTGCATGTTATGTGTCTTATATTAGATTCACATTATAAGTTGTAATTACAGAAGAAAATGGACTCTTGAACCAAGTTTCACCTATTGCTCGGTGAAAGTATATTGTGCAATTTGAATAATCAGAACTATGTGTCTCTCTGTCATATCTTTTATTACAAATACAGTATCTCCATCCCTCCTCTGTTCCTCAGACACAGTCTCTCTGTCAGAGGAGAAGGCAGTGTTATAAATGACCACATGCTGTCATGGTGTGGACTTTTTGGATTATTTTAACTTGGTTTTATTTACTTTTAGTTCTCTTGTATTTCGAGTTTTCCTGATTCCAGTGTGTCTTGTCGATTGTTAGCCCCGCCCTAATGTGATCCACCTGTGTCTCCTGTGTGTGTATATATACCCTGTGCTTTTCCCCACTTGTTGTCCGTCCATTGTCTCTACCAAGTTTGTCTTGTCTAGTTTTTCAGTTCTGGATTTTTGTGCCTTTGTCTCTCTGGATTTTGATTTTTATTAAATTACATTTGATTTTCAGTCCTGCATTTTGGGTTCCCTTTTTCTTCATGCAACCACGTGACACATGCTGTTTGGAGACAGCTGCACTCACCTCAGTCAGAAGATCAGACACTGGATTTATCTATTTATGAACCAGTAATTGAATCAGTAATTAAAAATGAATCCAATTTGAAAAAAGGTCACATTTTGATGTATTTTACAAAAGATTGAGTTTGTTGTAGTGTTGCTGAAGGAAAAAAAATGCAAAAGTAAAAACAGATTGTTTTGAAATAAAACGAACCAGGACCTGTTTGAACTCCTAAGTCTCACAAACATATATTGTCCAAATGTATTACAATAACTTTGCCTTTTTGTGTTTTTTCAGGTCCCTAAAACTGATATTTACTTCAGCTGTGAAAACATTTAAAAGGTTAAAACCCTTCATTGTTCTCACTTATCATTTGTTTGAACGGTTTGATTCTCTGATCTGTTGTTGGCGAATCAACAACTTTGTAAAGTCCTCCAATATGACTGCTGTTGTGATACAGCACTTCACAAACATAAATGTAATAGAATTGAATCATTGGAGTAAATGAGTCTTCAGAGCCTCCGCTTCACAAAGGTCCAGACACTTGTTTATACTCCCCACGGTTCTCAAACTGGTTTCATTTTGTCGTCAGGCGTTTTGCAGAAGAGTCATAAAAGGGTAAAACAACTCTTTTCCATGTTCGGCGACATGCATTTGTTGTTTTTGTTCTGTGACTGACACCGAACATTATATTTATACCACAACAAACAAACGAGATGTTAATGTGTGTGTTTTCATACAACAGTTTCTCACACTCTCTAATTGCAGATGATCTCATGCCATTTGCCTGGCCGTGCTGATGAAATGTAAAAATGTGCTGCTGAGAGATGAATCAAGCGGCCGTGTCCTGCGTGTTCTTGAACGGGCCACTAAAACATGTGTGAGGAGAGGAGGTCAGGCAGAGGTGAGCCCCGCACTCAGAGCCAAATCCAAACTATAGTGAAGCTAGAGTCCTATTTATGCCACTGTTTACAACATGCTTCTGTCTGTTTGTCATTATGGACATTGAGCACGTATGACGCACATTTCTGATCTGACTGTAATAAAATAAACATATGGGTTAAGATAAATAGACTAGGATTAGAAACCCAAAGCTCTTGATGGACTAGACCTGTGCCAAGGCATTGATCTTGTGTTGCCATGGGGAAGATAAAGTGGCCAGACTGCTCTAGTTTACGAGGGTTCATTGATGAAGAATAAATTAACAAATTAATATTTGTAACATTATTGGTCCATATCTCAAATCATAAAGTGACAGCATTGAACCTGATGAAAGCAATGTTAAAATTTGCTCTTCATTGTATTTGATGAAAAAACAATAACACTCTTTGAAAGTAAAGCAATATTTTCCTTCGTTTGCCCTTTTTCCAAGATTTACTATATTGGATTGTTTATTTAAAAGAATATATATATTCATGAAATTACAGTGGGATGATTTTACATGAGCCAGTGGGGAAAGATAAGAAAAATCTTTTTTGGCTCTTGTTGCGCCAATTTATGTGTTTTTTTTCTCTTTAGAAGTCTTCAGAACAACCCTCACTGTGAACCTGAGGGGTGAGGCAAAGGACACGCTGTCTTGTAAAACATATGCACTTAATATTGGGGCCGTAAAACTTGTAAAATTAAAAGCTATTTTGGAAAATAGAGAGAGTGAAATTTATGCGTCTGGCTCAGGGATAGAGGTTGTTTTATCTTGGGGCAGCGAGGGTCCACCGGGGCACAGGTAACGACTGTCAACAGCAGGGTGGGGGGGTAGTTTGGTGGGACTGTGTAGGACCAGATGTGCACATGTGTGAGTGGGGTTTCCCTGCTCCATCACCACCACGGCCCATGTCACAGAACCTCCTCAAGTCTGCCTGCTTTTAATTACACAAAAGCTTTGCAAAAAGGCCCCGAAATGGAGGAGGCTGAGGCGTTTGCTTACATGCAGTCACAGCTACCGTCACACAGCGTAAGAGCCTTCCTGGCGACAGCAGGAAAAATGAGAGGTGAGGACGAAAAAAATACCAAAACAATGTGGACAAAGCCGGTCTGATTGAAAAGCTGCTAAAAGCAATTATGATTGTGAGAATGTGCAGGCCCCTCTTCTTAGCAGCCAGCAAACATCATAAATCGTGTGGCGGTCTCTGTTTACATTGTGCTGACCTGAGCCTGGCCTCTGGGCTCTCCACAGCTCCAGGACCGCTCACATACACAAGCATTCATACACGCACGTTTACATTTTTTACTCTGTTTTGGTTTACGCTTAATGAACCATTTTAAGTCACCGTATGGGCTTGATTTTGCTTTGCCGTCGTTTTAAATAAAGTTAAAAAGCGTCATGGTTGGTTGAGTTATGAGTAGTGATACATCATTTACACCGTCAAAACATTAGTTGATAACACTCACAAACACACAAGTTCATGATTGGATTGATAAACGTTGAGAAAGACCTCAGCCATAATCGTACATTTTTTATAAAGAATGAGGCAGAATTAAATCGTTTAATTAAAGGGCAATATTAAGAAACATATTGTCTTAATTAAAACCACCACATTTGTCAAAACATCCTACTTCTTTGAGGAAGGGGTTTCAACATTCATCTGGACAAATTATCTAAACCTAATCTCATTTTCTAAGGCTGATGTTTTTTATTTGCTCATTACAAGTTAAAGCTCGGGTACGTAACTTTCAATAAAATCCATCCATCAAGTTATCCAGACCCATGTTTTTACATGCATGTATTTTTACACCTTTAGAATTGATGTGTTTGTATGGATGGAGGTGTTTCTACTGCTGGACACCTAAATATCTCCCACAGGGATGAATAAAGTATGTATCTATATCTATCTATCTGTAGATCAGCTTTTTCCAACAGAAAAGTGAAAAATAGAGGACCACCCTCCCTCGCCAAATAGCTCTAAGCCAGACGAGTCAAAAAGTGACTCACAGGGTTCTTTCCTACAAGTCTGCAAAAGCTATGTATTTCTATCGATGGTGTGGTCTGATTGGTTCACAAAATATCCCATTTACAAGATTTTCTGTATCATTAATGAAACAAAAACACCCAGCATCAAGCATGTATTTATGCATTCTCAAGACTAAATCAAAACTAAAACTAACTTTAAATCTGGAGGCCAAAGCCGCCATCCATGATAAATCGTCTGTAGTGTGGACACATCACATCTGACACTGACCATGACCAATACATTTGATTTGCTATCTGACTGCCTTTACTTTAAATCTGTTAACACAAACATATATATACATACAGTATATAAACACGGCCCTGGGCTCCCTCCATATTCCGCCATTAAAAACATGTCATAAGTTTAAGCCCAGCTGGAGTGTGTCATCAGTGGCAGGTATGCATGACCCCTTTCACCACGTCACTCACATCGTCCGCGCTTTCCAACCGTATTCAGCCTGACGACATAAGACTTTTGTATATTTCGCTCCAAATGTTGAACTCTGCTTCTCTATATTGATGTTGCATTCACTCAAACTGTACATGCCTGAAAAGCGAGTATATTTTGAAATAATAAATGGCCGTTCTGCTTTTGATTCTCCTAACACAGACAGAAATGGTGGTTTTTCTTAAGGTACACTCTGGTGCACCTCGGCACGGCCCAGAACGCACTAAAAATTTATGGCCTTAACATTCCTGCGAGGTCAAGCAATTTATCAAATGCTGCACATTCTGGTTTCAATTACACAGCCGATTGTGGAGAGTGCGTTGTTTTAGCAGGTTCATTTGGCCCAGTAGGGGAGGTCCAGGTCTTTCTGCCCCAAACTCCATCAGTTGAACGGGAATAGGGCATTACTGTGGACAGATGCGTGGCCTTTGAACAGTGCAGATGGTCATCCAGAGAGAGAGGGATGCAAGAATGTGAGCAGCGGGCAGCATCACATAACTGTCCATCTTCATTTCGGTCCCCTCGTCCCTGGGCCTTCTTCTGCTTTGGGTTTGAACAGTAATCCAGATAGTGTGATAAGGCAAGCTCTTCCTGCTGATATCCGCTATATCTTTAAGAAGAATACAATACATGCGTCAGATATGATCAGAATGTATTTGATTGTGGTTAAATAAAATATATTAGTAAAAAAAAAATATTAGTCCATTCAGCTGCACACAAACACACTATACATGCAGATGGTCTTCAGTCTAACTTCATGGAATTAAAAGAACATTTTCCAAAGAAGCCCCCAAAAAGGCAATTGCGTTTTAACGGCAAACATAATCTATTAATCACAACGGCCAACTTAAAGCTGATGTCTGCAATTGAATTATATTTTCAACAAATTATACATAATTGTTGAAGTTTTATCAATAATAATTATATTTAAAACCCACTAGAATAAGCATCATCAGGAAGGTTTGCTGGAGGAGACCAATTCAATGTATTTGAATTCATTACATCCAATCAGGAAGCTGTGGGGGCGGGTCTAACTGCCCTTAACATTAAGGTTGAAGCTTCTCAAACAATCTCAATTCAACAAGTGATTGAAGACTCACTGACATAAACGGGCCCATTCCAAACAAAAAATGTCACCAGTAAACACAATATTTACAAACATACTAAAAAAACAAAAAAAAACAAAGGAAAAGTAGGGACAACAATGTTCTTTCTGCAGCGTATTCCAATAGTTTTCCTCCCTCCAAAACTCCTGCAGTTTTCCAGTGTCACTAACACCTTCTCACTATCCTCCATTTTGTCGGCCATTTTTCCTCCACCCTCTCCCTTTTCTTCCTCTGTAGTGGAGTGGTGATAAATCCCCATTTTATTGCAGGAGAATTCCTCTCTCCCTGCAGGGTTGACAGCTCCCCACGTTCTAAGACAGTGCAAGGACCAAACCCAATCCTCCGCCCTCCTCCTCCCATCAGCCCATCGCTGCCTCCATCTGGCCCTGATTATAGTAAGAGTGGAACAGGCATCACACCATTACACCCTGAGGAGCGCAGAGATGATGCACTGCACAGGGCTTTGCAGGAGGACGGGAAGAAGGAGCAAGAACACATCAGGAAAATGGAGGCTCCTCATGGAAACCCGAAAGTGACACTAAAGTATTAAGATAGACTCAGGCTCCGATTTAACCAAAACGGACAGGGCACCATTTAGGATGAGGGATCGGTGCTAGAAACAGTCAAGCCCAAAGTGATAAAATAAGTATACATACAGGTCTAAATGAAGACATGACATTTGCCTGATGCTCTGATACCGCTTATTGTTGTTGCACATTTTGTGACAAGCCTTGTCAAACTTCCAATTCACATAATCATTGTTGAATATTAACTGAAATGTACCAAGTGCAAATGAATGCACTAAATCCAGCTGTATTGACTGTTTAAAGTATGGCGCATGAATATGTAGTCCTGCTTCTCCATTGTAAAGTCATAAAGATGATCTTTTGCGTGCTCAGTATTTAACTGGGCCGTTTGTGAAGAGCCTGCACATATACATACATGTGAAGGGTCCTGGCAGCAGCCGCAGCAGCAGGTGCCAGACTGAGTCATAAACACAACTGGTCTGGACAAGCTGGACCCTCACATCAAATCACAGCTTTGGGCCGCGTCCACCACAGCTCTGCACATGGACAGAACTGAAGACCCTCCTCTTTGAATGACACGTTCACACTGGCTCTGTGAAGAGGAAGGCAGCGTCCCTATGTCCCAATGTCCCCATGTCAGCTGTAAATGACTGATTATTCTACTTTAGGCTGTGAGAGAGGATCAGAAAACTGCTCTAGATGTAGAATCATTCAAGACAGAATATATAGACTATATGCTAGAGTTAGTTGTTTTATTTTAATTAGTATAGCCATTCTTCACTTATCTTGTGCTGTGTGCTCCTCATTCCTACTGTTCTATACCTTGTGATGCAACACTGAAATTTCCCCACTGTGGGACAAATAAGGGATCTCTTAATCTCTTAATCTTAATCTTTATGGTCCACAGTGGAACTTCAGCTCATGTATTTACAGACCAGATCTGTGGAGAAGGGAGCACCAGCACAATCCATCTTATCCAGGCCTTTTGGGGAAAACTGACACTAATCAAATAAACTATACATGTCTACATACTGGTGGATAAATACAGTCGAAAATATTACATTACCATGGTAACAAGCAGGAGGAACAAAAGTTACATAGTTCACCTTTACTCAATAGAATGTCAATATTTATATAATTTCATCATTTTGAATAATATGATAATCAGGATCTTTTGTGTCATTTCAATGTCAGAATATTCATAACAGAATGGTAAGGCACTCAGATAAAAGTGTAAATATAAAATATGACAGTTCTATATTGATAAAACATAACACAAACAGTTAATTCTTGAGTATACATTCTGATTTGCATATTGTTAGTAAATCCAGAACATTAAATCCCATTGTAAACTATAAACTTATTCAGCCAGTAATACCCCAGTCTCACATGACTCCTGTTGTGCTTTTATCGATGAGAAAACCCCCCACATTAAAATCAGCGCCATTGTTACCGGACTTTAATTAAAAGCATTTCTATATTTCTCCTGAACCGAAAGTCTCCACTGCTGACTAAGCCCAACATTTGATAATGAATCATCACGCGGCCCAATCTCCCCCTTTACACCACACCTCCGCTTCCACCAAAAATAATCAGGATAATTTCTATTCATTATTACACCTCCATTTATCTGCGGGACGGGGCGTGTGGGGAGGACCGGGGTATAACTCTGTGGAATAACAATTCCATTAAAAAGCCCGCGCTGCAAAATATCAATCATTGTTGCCTGTTAATGTCCCTCCAGCCTATTCAGATAGCCTCTCTCTCCTCTCCTAATGTCCACCCATCTGTGTGTGTGCGTGTGTGTGTGAATGTGTGTGTGTGTGTTGTGCGCACAGCTACATTCTAAGGCCCTTAATCAACAGTTGCTGCATCTGGCGCTAGATAATGAATGGCATTGTTTATAACCTCAACTTCCATATCAGGTGATAGATGGGCAAAGGCCTAACACTATCATTTGAATAAGGAATGAGGCACAGGCTGATTTGAATAGCTATGGTGTGTGGGAGAGCGTTAATATAGATTTCTTGGTGAAGTTATGGCGGCGATGTGGTGATAGGGGTAGTAATGGTGATGGTGCGGTGCGGAGGACAGAGATGAAATCATGTGGCACCTGCTTTGATTGATGGGAGTGTGGGATGGATAAAGCAGGCGGAGGAAGAGCTGGTTGTGATGATGATTTTATTAATATTATTATTTATTTGATAGGGGCAGATACAGTAAACATAGATAAACATGTAGTAATCTGATGCAGTTATAGAATCGCATTGTTTATTGCCAAAGCTAATTTGCAGCTGCGCCGTGAAGGCTTAAGAACGAACCACATGTGAATTTGACTTTCAATCAATCAATCAATAGTAATAAAGTAAATATTTACAGCTTCATGTTTGAGAAGCTGTATTGGTTTATCTGACTACGTTTTGCATCGATACAAAGTTGCATATTCAATAAGACGGCTGAATTATATATATTTATGACTTTTGGTAAATATACACAGGTTTGAGTTGTGCTGAATGAGACTTACTGCACCGCTTAACTTTCCTGATGGAGAGGACTAAATATAAACGTTGTTTTGTCTGGTATGTAATGGTTTTAAACTTTTTCATCTGCACTGGAGTCGGATAAGAGAGTTTACCAGGGGTAGTTACAGGTCATATCTGTGGAGAGGGAGCCAACTCAATGGAAATAATTACGTTTTTTTATTTTTAAAGTAAATCCATTTGTAGTTACATTTAAAAAAAGAGTTACATTCAAAGAAATCCATGGAAACAAGACCCCAGAGAGGTTGCACTGTGCACATTTAAATCACAGCTATTTTAGTTTCAATAAAATGTCAAGTTCCACATCTACTCCCCTCAAAAATCAAGACAGAGATTTGGAATCACATGTTCTGGTAAATTGAAAATGCTGATTAAAGAAATGGGGGTTTTAGTGCATCACTTTCTGGATGTGCAAGTATAATGTGTAAAATATTGGCTCGGTGCAGAGGGGTTGAGAGCCGGATCCCAGAGGACAGTGAGTGTTCCAACTGGAGAAATACACATCTCCCAGCCTGCACCAGGGACCAGAGCTGTGGCCAAATCCACAGCAGTTTCCCCCGTCCCCCTCCTCACATACAGCCAGCATCATTGATAAAGACAGGCCTCTCAGGGATGACACTGATAGCTGCTTCCAAACCATTCAAAAGGTGATTTTCCTGGTGCCATTTTAACCACGCTTCATGATGCACGTGTCCAGAAACATAACAGCATCAGAACAAGACTCAGGAGGGACTCGCACATGACCATTCTCATTTTTATCAGATCCATTAAAAGTCAAAGAAAATAGCGTTCAAGCAACACTGATCCAGACTTTTGGAGATGCACTGTTGCCATAAATGTATATTAACCTATAATAAAAAGGCCATAAAAAAGCTAGAGTCATTTTAAAAATTATAGTAAAGAATTGATGCCAAATGTGTACAAGTAAGCCTCAACATTATAGTAACCATTCATTATGAACATTTTTCTACATCGTACTTAATATTTCAAATTATTAGAATATTACTTTGCATTGACTGATTCAACAGAATTTCCCCCATGGATACCAAATCTGTTTTAACTACAAAACATGTATTAAAGTTGTATTTTTTGAAAGGAGAGTTTTTACCGGGCTATGTTCAAAATTGACCTCATGATAAACTATAATATATTTATGGCAATCGAAATGAAACAATGCAGGAGAGAGAAAACAAAACAAGTGGATTCAACAGTTGAACTTTGAATTTCTTTAACAAAAAATGTCGATGTCCCTAAAATCCCAAGCCACTTGCAGTCTCCCAAAGGAAAGACGATAGAGTCACAGCAGCCTCTCATCTCCTGGTCCAAATGTGTCCGTGCACCTGGGGTCCGAGAGCTGAGGCTGGACCCTGTAGGTGCCATTGACAGCTGAATTATCCCAGAGGCCGCGAGGAGGCTGATTATCAATGGAGAAGTCATCAGGACCTCTTCTCCCATCACCCACACAGCCCGCCACAATACCCCAACCCCAGCTCCAATCTGTCCCCTTCAGCCTCTGTCAGGCCTCGTCAGGGCCCTGCACCGCTCCACTTGACAGGTAATCTCAACAATAACAATTACAGCTATTACTGGTGTCATAAACAAGTGGCGACCCAAAGCAGGGAGTGGGACAAAGGCTTTGTAATCGACCATGCAGGTAAGTGGGCAGCAGCAGAAGGCCACACAAATCCCCCTCTGTGAAGCCTGTAATTTTCAGTCCTCAGGCAAATTTCAATGACAAAATTTTCATTTGCTGTTGAGTTGAATTGGGGATTTGTATGTGGTTTAATATTCTGTAAGGCAACAAGAAGACAATTATGTGGAATTATTTACTATTGATTAACATGGAAGGCAAGCCTGGATTTGTCCCAGTGGGGGATATGTCATTGTTGCAATTCAATAAAAGTATGGGAACTAAAAAGACTGATATAAAGAGATTTTTGAATCTCGGGAATTTCCTCGTTATATAATGACTGAATAAATAAAAATTGTTAAGATTACGAATAAACAAACTCATACTTTATTAAATAGTTTACAAAAATGTGGCTAGTGTGTAATAAATGATGATGATGGCAGATAACAAATGATTAAACTATAATAAATACACTTTTTATTAGGACATAATTACATTTTGTGTACAGGTTTTGCTTAGGATCTGAGCGGTTTGACTGAGAATGAGATGATCCCACACACAAATCTAATTCCAATCCCACATTTAAAAGTAACCCAACGTGTTTTACGCACATATTTTTAATCTGGGTTATTGCGCGGGTCCCGTGCCGTCCCGTCACGCCGCTGCCCTTCATGTGTGCGCGTCTATAGCGGTGTCTTTTCAGGGCCAGCTCCTCTTCTTCCTCTCCTTTTACCACTTTTACCAAAGCAAACAAGGCGCCGTGGCCCGGAGCGTAAAAATCATTTGCGGCTCCCTAATGAGGAGAGCTGAGCAGCAATTAACACGTGTCACAGTCGACATCATCAGGTGCCACTCTCTCCTTCCCTTTTCTCGCCTTTTCCTCCGCGTTCCAGCTCCTCTGCCTGGATCCCGTCCGTATAAAAAACACAAGCTTTAAAATAAGCCTCTTTCCGTGCGCGCTGCAGCCGGGGTGCGCGCGCCTAACGACTTTTATTTAGCGAAAAGGAGATGGTGCAAAGGTCTATTCTTTTGGTTTGTGTTTTCCCAAAGACGCGGCGGCGGCGGTGCGTGCGTAAAAGATCCGGTGTGGAGCGCGGCACATGCAGACTGAAAACACACAGCGGAGGATTCAACCAGCGGTAAAAAGGATATATATAAGGATATGTGTTGAACAATGTGTGTAATATACAGATGTTTAAAATCATATAATATTGTGGGGTATTTCAGCTACATGTGATAGAGACTTAAGACTAACATTACAAATAATTATATCCCAATAATTAAATAAAACGTTTGAACAGCTATATATATATGCATGTTTGTTCAAAAAGATAAGCCTATATATAAAAATGACCTTGATGTTGTTGTTATTATTTGTTTATTTTGAATGGGGACAGTACACATTAATCAACATTTTTAGTCCCTGTGCAAGGGGTAAAATTCCAGTAAAGAACACTGCAAACTTTACAATAGAAAATACACATTCTAGTTTTGTTTCTAGTTATTTTGTAAATAAAATATTTAGTTAAATATATTTAATAAATACAATAAAATTGAACATTTCCTCATAAACTCAAATCAAAAACACAATTTATTATTTTCATATTTGAATGTATTTAATAGCACAGCCTTGATCATTTATTTGCAGTGCTGATTGGGAGGAAAAGTCTTTTTTTTAGGTTAAAATAAAGCATCAGTAATTCTTTATTTAAAAAAAAAAAACTGTAACATGTGCATAAAAACCAAAACAATCAAAACCTTTGCATACAATAATAATCAAACGTCACATGGATCCCAACAGAAGCAAACACCACTCCTGAAATCTGTGAGGAGAATGTGACTCTGTAGAAGTAAAGCAGAGGCAGGAGGCGTTGGGAGGATGGTGGTCTGACCTGAGCGGCTCTTGTGGCAGTGAGGATCTCAGAGCAGAGCAGTGGGAGCCGGGGCCAAACGCCGCTCTCCTCCGGGCCCCTGACGTCCCCCGCTTACGTCCCCCGCGCATCTCATTTGCATACATTGCTCTCCCCTTGTTCTCATTAAGGCTCCGTCTCACAAAAGTCAAGATTCCCGCTGTTGTTCCCCCAGTCCTTGTACCTGTGGTGTCTCCCGTGGACCACAGAGAAAGCAGATGAAAGGGCCAAACAAAAGAAGAGGAGCAGAGGAAGAACCATCAGTAGCAGCAGCAGCAGCAGCAGCAGCAGCAGCAGCAGCAGGATAAATGGTTCTCTGTGCAGCAGCTCTCTCTCTCTCTTCCCTCCGTGCAGGCTCTGGTCTTTTTGTGTTTCTTGAAGCCGGCTCCATTTTGTGTTAAGCACTGCCTCTCATGACAGATATATGCCAGGGTCACGGGCCAAAGTTGAGCTCAGGGTCAGCTGTAACATAACATCCAAAAGCTATGCACCGCAAAAATCACCGCTTTTTGTATCAGGTCCAAGTGGAAAATAGTTGCTTAAAGGGAATTAGTTATGCCTTTGCACATGCACTCAACTAACAAGAGTTTATTTAATGGTAAAAGTTCAAGATACTGTATGTAAAAAAAAAACTCCTGGCCTTGCAAAGGAAGGAGGATATAAAACTATGGAGAAAGGTTTATAACAAAGAGACAATGCAATCATTCAGTGAATTCAAAGCAACACTAAAACACTAAACAAGACATGAATCAACCAATAAAAAGATTGTTTGTGAACACATTAACAAAATGTAGTTGAAAAATTGCAATACAGACTTTCATAACGTGACTGTGAGATATGTGGTTTCAAGTGTGAGCAGGTATGAATTAAATGACAAATGTTTATTGTTTTATCAAAGAACCGTTTTTTGTGCAATGAAAATATGAAATCTAGGTCATATACTGTATGCATTAAAACAATAATTGCTATACTAATCAATTATCAAATGTATGCATGTTAAATGGAGAAAAACTATTTCCAACCTCACATGTATTTTATGAAGTTATCTTACTGTATGTTTGGAATAAGAGCTGATCATGAATAACACCATTTTTAAAAAAAGTAAATAAGTATTATAACATCATCGCAGCATTATTTCACCCTGCCTCGTTCATCTTTCTCCACTGGGTTTGGAGTCGGTCAGCCTCTACGGTCCACTTGTGGTCAGTCTGTCTGCTCTCACATGATGTCCCTCGTTCTTCATTACGCATGCAGCCTGGTGAACTATTGCGCGGCTAAAGGAATGCATGTCTACACAAACACACGCAGCGACCTCACATTCAAATCCCGATCGAGAACTTTCTGAACAAACACACAGACATGACCGCTGCACCACCAAAACTTTTGAGGGCCGGCTGAACACAAGACCAGAGGAAAGGAAAGAATGATGATGCCGGACTCTAACATCAAACAATAAACAGCCCATTAAGTGTGTGGGACGGGGGGTGGGATAGCCGATATAAGAGGGGGCTTTTGCGTGGATGTGTAGTTTATTTAAAACATAGTGACCCCATGCTCCAGTGCAGGGATGAATAAAACTTTAATGGCTCATAAAACAGAGCGACCTATCCAGCGGCTCACATCTACTCGCATCCATTTCATCTGTCCGAAATGCACACACACAAAAAAAAAGAGAAAGAGGGGGTTGGCAAAGTGATTCGAAATGTTATTGGGTGAAAGATAATGGAGGAGAGAGGAAATGGGATGTGTGTAGTTGATAAAAGGCGGTTTTATTTGTGGTGGGGGAGAATGAGAACGTGGGGCAGAACGACAAAGACTAAATATTTATCACACTTTGGAGGAAAGGGTTGCAATGAAAAGGTGAGACGGTCAGCAGTCGTCAAAAAGGTGATGTGGTGGAAATGGGGTGAGCAATACTTATTTTTTGGGAGTAACATTTGTTTTTTGCCCCTGCACAGAAAAGTGTTATAATCAGATGATGGGAATAAATGGTAAATAATAAACTAATGCATTTTTAATTTGATTTGCTCTTTTTACTGTGAGAGAAACTCTTGCTAGCTTGAGGGCTGAGTGATTATGGTAAAAAAAGAAGAACAATAATTTTACTCAGACCGTTTGGATGATTAGGATGTTCATCAAACTCACAGAAGATCACTATTTATGAAAGACTCATAACTGCGTGATTTTGCCTTTAAAAATAACCTTAAAGGGACAGTACTGTATGTCATATTTTTAGTTTTGAATTATGTATATTTTATTTGGGGGGTTTTAGAGGTGGGATGCTCATTAGATTTTTCTTCAGCCCACTCCTGTTGTGCAGTGTTAATACAGTTCAAATAAATACAAAAAAAATAAAAGGTCAACCACAGACTGTGCGGAAGAAGCCGTTTTGAACACAAGCTAGCTGCAGTTGTATTGTACAGACGCTGACCTTGTAGATATAATCCAATTTGAGTGTTTTCTGGAAATGTGCTGTTCTTGGACTGCCGTGTTGTTTACACTCGAGTCAAACCAGTCGGCTAAACTTAAACTCAAACTTTTTAGCCTGACCTCATTTTCACAGAATAGATTTTTTTTTTTTTATATTCATGAAAAAGCTCATTCATCAAATGTAACTATATTAACCACCCTGCAGTCCTACATCACACACGTGGTGAAAAAACACTTCTAAACTAAAATTGTGGTGAATACTTAGGATGTGGCAAGACCTGAGAAGACTAGGAGAATTAACTTGGACTATTACTTTTTATACACAAATGGTTTTTTCATTTTAATGATTTAAAACTAATACATTATTTTAGACTATTTTAAGACGGAAAAAAAGTCCAGCACACATAACAAAAATATTTTTTCAGTTGTAAACAATAGACTTTAACGGAAGATTTCTATAGTCAACAAAACTGATTTTCTCACCCTGTTGTGGCGCCCTGATCTGAGCAGTGGGGGTCTCTGGCTGTTGTATAGGGTGCTGCTGACCCCCTGGCCTCCTCTGCTCTCTCTGGGACGTCCTGCCGGTGTCATCCTCGGGTCAGGAGACTGTAAATATACACGCAGGCACAAAGTCATAAATCACATGAACCAGAGCGTGGAAGCTATAATGTGGGACAGACATGCAGTCAACAACAGCACAACATACTTCAGAGGTAAACTCCTATTTTTACACACAGCTTCACATGTCCAGCCACTTTCTTTGAGCCAGTGCCAAGCCTGGAGAAAAAAATAAATAAAGAGAAATAAACAAGTCAAACTTCTCTCACAGCAATTAGTGCTTTGACAGTTTGTTTGAGCTCAGCAGTGTGTGTGTGATATGGAAAATGAGCTAATACTGATTCTATACCTAACTATAGTTTGGTTCTAAAACAGGTTCACATGTATTATTGTTCTTTCGCACATCTTTAGATCAGATTTATCAGACAGAAAAGTAAGAAAGACAGGATCACCCTCAGCCAAACACCACTTAGCCCAAAACATCAAATAGTGACGCACAGGGCAAGTATGTTTTCTAATAAGAGAAATACAGCATGTTGTGGTGAGATTTGTGCACATTTTACCTTTACAAGATTTTTTAGTTGGCAAGCAAAATGTATTTATTTTATGTAAATATATTATCATTATCAATGGTTTTGTAAAGTCCTCACAGATAACTACTGTTGTGTGGCTATACAAGTATTAATAGAATAGAATTATTTAGTGAAAAAAAGTGAGTACCCCAACTTTAAATGATTACTTACTGACAACTTGTTTAGCCTATAAAATAAAAATGTCAATAAGATATAAAATACAACTGTTATTCACACACAATGGGACATGTAGGTGTCGCACTCAAACCAAGTTGTATAAGTATCACTCACATAAAAATATACTTATTGAATGTAATTAGATAATGATGTGGAGGATTATATAAACTGATCGATGTCTGTCCAAAGCTGCATCTCTGACGCTCATAAAGAAGCGCTGTCTTCAAAGCTGGTCATTAATGCCAGGTGTCAGGATATCTGAAAAAGTAGTTAAGTTAAACATAGTTTTAAACACACGCATCTTTCACTTTCACACCTTCACAAGACATTTTACAATCCAAAAGTCACTGCTGCGTTGCTTCAAGGCAGTGAGTCTCTGCAGAAATAATCCTCTTCTTTATTGTCTTTTTAACTGGATGTCTGTAGGGCAAAAGAACTGAACAAGTTAACAATGCTTTCACACGCTACACGCAACAACACGCAATGCCAAATATGATGAACTTATATGAGGTCAGTTTCCAACAAAAAATACCTACACTTTTTTGTATCATAAATAATCCATGTTATTTTTGCCAACAGGAAAATCAGACCACAACATGCTGTCTCCATTGTATTAGTAAACATTTGATCCTTGGCATAAATGTAAGAAAGAGCCCTGTTCTTTGACACTTTGGGCTGAGAGGTGATTGAGTGAGTGAAGGGGGTCCTCTCTTTTGCACTTTCAGAAATAATGATCGAGCCAAACTATAAAGAGCGAGGAACTACTTTGATTTTATGACATAGTTCACATTTGAAAGTTAGGTACCCCAGCTCATCACTGAGATGGGTATGCTACCTGACAATGACTATTTTCTGCAGACTTGTCACTTATGGATTAAAGGTGCGAATTTGTGGAAAAAACCTCTCCCATTTTCTTTTCAACAGTTTGGCAATAGTTGAGACAAGAATATGTGAAAGAGCCGTCTCATCATCAGCAGATATCAAGGGGCAGTTAACTTAAACTCTGTTGCATTGACATCATTCCATCTGTGATCTCCGCTGTGCTAAATGTTTTTCCAGGCATTAACGCGTCATCAAAGTGTCCAGCGCCCTGGTCCAGTTTGATCACACACATCTCCGGAGGGCCCTCTCCATAATTATCTTTGTGTTATGTCAAGTGCGCCTGAGCCAAAAATTGCTTGCTTTGGATTGTTCAGAGCTATCAAGTTGCCATGTGAAAACACCAGGCCATGACATCACTGTGTCACTTAGCTCGGGAGCTGCCTCTCACATACACAGCGTTTGGGTGTTAATCCCTGGTCTTAGACTGTAAGGCTCAAACAGACCACTGCATACAGTTCTCTGTGGTGGATTCCACTAAACATCTCGCTTTTAATTGAGCAAACTGTGATAGCGCAACAATAACAGGTGTAAGACACATCAATGTATTCATAAATGAGGTACTATTTCTCATGTAAAATATAATATACATAATACATCTATAGC